ATACTTGTAAGTCTTTCAAGAAGATACCTAAAAGGAGAATAGCTAGGTCAAATGGAAACTTTAGTTTTAGTTTTTTGAGGAATCTCCACACTTTTTTCCATAGTGGTTGTACCAATCTATACTCCCACCAACAAGGGTTCCTTTTTCCTCACAGCCTCGCCAGCATTTGTTATTGGTTGATTTCTTGATGATAGCCATTTTTTCTGGAGTGAGATGAAATCTCAGAGTTGCTTTAATTTGCATTTCTTAAATGACCAGTGATATTGAACATTTTTTCATATATCTATTTGCTGTTTGTACTTTTTCATCTGAGAAGTGTCTATTCATTTAAGATGCTCATTTTTGGAATGGGTCTTTGAATTTGGGGTGGGGTCCGATTTTTTTGAGTTCTTTATATATTCTAGATATTAGTCCTTTGTCTGAGGAATAGCTGGTAAAAGTTTTCCCTTTCTGTAGGTTGTCTCTTTACTCTGTTGGTGGTTTCTTTTGCTATGCAGAAGTTTTTAAATTTGATGTTATCCCAGTTGGTGATTCTTTGGTAATATTTCCTGTGCAATCGAGGTTTTATTCATAAAGTCTTTGCCTACACCTATGTCTTCTAGAGTCTAACCTATTCTATCTTCAAATAGATTAAGTGTTTCTGTTTTTATATTTATATCTTTGACCCATTTCAATTTAGTGCATGGTGAGAGATACGGGTCTACATTCAATCTTTGATATGTGGAAATCTAGTATTCCCAGCACCATTTTTTTAAAGAGGCTATCTTTCTTGCAGTGAAGTTGTTTGGCCCCATTGTCAAAGATAAGGTGACTGAGTGTGTTTGAAGTTGTTTCTGTGTCTTCTAATCTGTTCCACTGGTCCTCAGGTCTTTTTTTTTTTGTCAGTACCGTGCTATTTTTATCACAGTAGATTTGTAGTATAACTTCAAGTCACGGATTGTGATGTCTCCTGCCTTACCCTTGTTGCTGTTGCTCTTCTGGGTCTCTTCTGGTTCCATATGAATTTTAGGATTGTTTTCTCTAGTTCTGTGAGGTAGACTATTTTTATCTTGATTGGGATTGCATTAAATCTGTATAACAGTTTCGGAAGTACGGTCATTTTCACTTATTGGTTCTGTCTATCCAAGAATAAGGGATATCTTTCCATTTTCTGATATCCTCTTTGGTCTCATTTTTCAGAGTACTGTAATTTTCAATGTAAAGGTCTTTAACTTCCTTTGTTAGATTGATTCCTAAGTATGTCATTTTTCTTGATGGGATTGTGAAGGTTGTTCCCCTGAACTCTCTCTCAGTGAGTTTGTTACTTGTGTACAGAAATGCTATTGATTTTTGAGTGTACACTTTGTATTCTACTATGCTACCAAATTTGGTTATTAATTCTAGGAGTCTTTTGGTGGAGTTTTTGGGGTCGTCTATGTAGAGTAGCATGCCATCAGCAAATAAAGATACTTTAACCTCTTCCTTTCTTATCCTTATTCTTTTTGTTTCTTTCTCTTGTCTAATTGTGGTAGCTAATGTTTCCAGAACTATATTGAACAAGAATGGTGATAGTGGACATCCTTGTCTTGTTCCTGATTTTAGAGTGAAAGCTTTCAGTTCTTGACCATTTAGTATGATATTGGCTGTTGGTTTGTCATAGATGGCTTTTATCAGATTGAGACAAAAACCTTCTATTCAGATTTTCTGTAGGGTTTTTTTTTCCTCTTTGGTACCGGGGATTGAACTCAGGAGTTCAGTATTTTTAAGAAGTCTTTCATTTGGCAGTTGCAAACCAACACTTCTTCTAGATCTGATAGTCTGTTTTCACATTAGTTGATTCTGCTGTGTATACTTTCAATAGAATTTTTAATCTCCTGGCTGTGTTTGAATCTGTTTTATGGAATTCAGTTCTTTCCTATGTTAGGCATTCATCGTTTCCATAACTTTCCTAAGTGCATTTATTTTTTTAATATGTATCTCCTCTAGATTCACTAACCATGTCCTTAATTATGGTCACCATTTCTTTAATTATCTGTGTAATTATTTCCATTTTGTTTTATTTTTAGAGCCTCATTCATCTGCTTTGTTACTTCCACTGCTACAATTTCAGAAAGTTCAACTGGGTGACTTTTGATTTCTTCCACCTCAATGCCCCCTGGATTTGCCTTGGGTGAGCTGGAGGTCTGGGATTGCATCTTACTTCCGTGCTTTCTCATTTTCCATTTTTTTTGTATTCTGCATTAATCCTTGTAAGTTGCTTAGGTAGGTAGCTTTATTACTAATGTTGAGATCTCCAAGAAATTGCCAGAGACTCCTGCATTAAGTCTCTAGTCCCTACCTGCCCAGTGTACGATGCAGGCCTGAGAAAATAATACATTAAGAGACAGAACTAAGAGAGAGAAAGCAGGGTGCCAGGATGGCAAATGCCGGTACAACTGACAAAGGTGCAGGACAGTCTCAGGCACTGACATTTATTGACAATTAGTTGGGGTAAAGGCGATGTGTGGTTTCTATGGAAATTAATGTAAACAAGGCTCAGAAAGGACAAGACAAAGCATTCTCGAATTAGGAACAGAATAGACAAAATACATGATTGTAATTAGAACATTGTCCTTCTAGTCTGAAGGTTTTAGTTGTGGGGACGGAATTTGGGTGCAAGTCACTCTGACCTCGGCACATAGGCTTCAGTCAGATTCACTTCTATAAACAAGCCAGTTGTGAGGTTAACTCTTCACAGCCTGCCTTGGGCATAATCAATATTATGGTCCTCTGCAAGAAATGACTACTTTTCAGAGATGTCTTCTAGGCATAGCTGGCTCTTGGGCTTTAAGACTGTCCCAGGATCCTGCCTCTTCTGTTTATTAGGGATGAGAGGTTGTAGCCCATTTGGCCTAGCACCTAGTTGTTTGGTATTGTTTATGTCCCCCAGACAGTCTAGGTATTGGCATACAAGGAGGATCAATTGATCACAGCAACTCTGTCACCTTGGCTAAAGTAGTACAGTCAGCAATAACGATAGGATCAAATGCAGACTGGAAAGTGACAGACTGTGATAACTAATAATTTGCCACTTTTAACCATGTGTGCAAGATTTATAGTTATATAACAAAAGCTAAGACAAATCAGAAAATCATATACAGTAAATATCCACTTAATAGAGCAATTTTATCCTGAGGGGAGAAAATTAAAATGAGAAGAGGCAAAAATAGAGAAATACAAGAAGAAAAATTAATTAGAAGCAAGGTTAAAGACAGAGGAAGATTACCCAATCTTCAGGAAACTGGTGAAGAAGACAGGAGGGAAGGAAAGAAAGAAAAAACAAAATCAAGGACAAAACAAAACAAACTAAAAACAGTGTTCACCCTCACAAAGAAACAAAAACAAATCATTAGAGGAAAAAAACCCAAATGAATAAAAACAAAAACAAAAATACTAAAAGCAAAGAGAAAAACAGAAATTTCTCTGTGATTTCAAGCCTGTGGTTATCTTCTGGGGTCTATAGTTTTGTGGCAATGTTCAAATCAAGGCATGACTCTGCCCTTGCGGGTAGACAAAGGAGGAGGACCGAGCCCAGATCCATGCTGGATAATCCTAGCAAGCAGCAGTAAGATTAGGGTGGTGGTGTTATTTTTGAGACTTTCAAATCCATGGAACTTGCCATCTGGTCGTGGGGTTGGGGCCTGGATCATGTGGGTTATAAACACTCTGGATCTCTTTTACCAGCTTGTCCACAGCTCTCTGATCATGGACGTCTCCTGTGATTGCCCCTTATCCAGTCACTGTGGTAGTTTAACACAGGGACCCCTGAGATGAAGCCGACCTGTGACTGCTCTGAGTCCTGGGCTCAGTTGGCCCCTCCGTAAAATGGTGTCTGACCAAACGTGCTTTCCAGGGGACACCACAGTCACTTGGACTGGTGTCACTCGCCAGCTGTTGTAGCAAACAGCATCTACTGCTCAGTTCCACTGGCGTGTTTCTCCCTGGAGGCCTCTGGAGTAATTTGCTTTCACTGTGTCTCTGTAGATTCGATCTTTTCTCATGGCATGAGCCAGGAGCTGGGGAGAAAGTGCAGGTTGCCCTTTCCTTTTTCTGCGTTGTGGTCTGCCTCTTTAATTTCTCTGTAGGCTCCAATTTTCCCTTCAGGTCCTTCCTGGATCTCAGGGATCCACCTCTCTCCTTTCCTTCCCCAAGTTGTTATTTTTCAGTGTCTGTATTCTGAATCTTGGAGAGGCTGATTTGTTGCTGCTTACCACTCCGCCATCTTCCCAGAAGTTCTCTCTTCTAGCATATGCTCTCATCATTCAGATTCTATGTACAGTTAACCATTTTCTGTATGACAGATCTTTTATATATCTCTATCATCACTCTTAAAATGTCTATTACAATTTTCTGTTTGTCTCATTGCATTCATCTTTATATTCTTGGAGTCTACAACAGTGTAATTTTCTTTACACTTTATTTTGGTCTTACATACAAATTGAAAAGAATGGAGATATATGATTGTCTGTATGGCCACATGGCTTTTTTTTGGTTTTATTGAAAAACCCAGTGAGCTGGATGATTGTAGCACTGCTGCACAGCCAGTGCTAAATGGTACAAAGGAACTAAAAGGAGAGTTGAAAAATTGTGGAAACTTTAAAGATGGGATTTGACTCTTAAAATTTCAAGTTAAACTGATTGGGGTGGCACATGCCTGTAATCTCAGCACCCTGGGAGGCTGAGGTTTAAAAAAGAAAAGGAAAGAAAAACATTTAAGTTAAATTTTTTTAAAATTATTGAATAAGTAGTTTTTTAGTTATTGGTTGTAGGGATAAGACTTTTTTTTCTTTTTAAATTTCTGACTCTGAAGTCACTGTTCATGTGGTTTTTGGTAAATCTCTTGACTTTGGTGCCTGTCAGTTTTCTCAAGATGAACTCTAAAATCCCAGCCAGCTAAGAGGGGCCATGATTCTGTACATCAAGTTTAAAATTCATTCTCTTCAATGATTATGTCCCTAACCATTGTTCATGTTTATTTTTAGATGACACTGCAGATTATGCTGAGAGGTTTATAGAGGAAAGCCTAGAGGAATATGAAGATATGCATGATTTTTCTTCAGTCAGTAGTCCACGTGTCAGAAAGCATTTTCCAGAGACTTGGATTTGGCTAGACACCCACATGGGGTAAATAGTTATAAACTTCTTTGTTTATATATATTTGGCCTATTGTATGTTTCAAATAAATTTTGTATAAATTTATAGTATAATTTTAAGTATAAATATAGTATTAATGAAGAACTAAGTAAGCCAAGAGTTTTTTGTTTCAGAATGATGTTGACTAAATCTAGCTACAGTATTTAATAAAGTCACGTGCAGATTGTGGCTGGAGAGTATCATTAAGGAGAAGGGAGTCTTTTAAAAAATGAAGGATAATTTTAATGTCCTTAAAGTCTCATGGTTGGAGAAAAATAGGTAGGAGTACTAGCCATGGGCATGGGCAGGAAATACTCACCATTACCTGTGAGGCAGGACATCTAACTCCTCATAAGTCACCCCATCAGCCACAGGGGAAGGGACGAGGGTGTGGAAGAAATTCAGCTTTGCTGAGCAACTCTACTGATCAGATAAGTCTTGGAATCTGGGCTAGGGATACAGCTTAGTGGCACTGGCGTGCCTAGCATGTGTGAGGCCCGGGGTTTGATCCCCAGTACTGCAAACAAAAGCCAAAATGAAACAAAACAAAACAAAACCTTGAAATCTAGATAGTATTTTACATCAAACTTTTAAGAATACTTTAAATCAGACATGAATCTCAAACAACCACTACAAAAAAAAAGAGCCAGCACTGATAGAGATACAGAGAAAATTTTTTCTGCAATTGAGAAAAAAATTGGAGTAAAGTTTAGAAATGCATACTTATCCTCTGTACAAAATTATGAAAATATAGTGATCATTCCGAAGCTATAAGCATTGTGAAAGATTTTATTGAAAAACAGATCATTATGCCATATTATGATCTACTTTGTGAGAACTTGGAATCTACTCTTTGATGCTAAAATGGTTTTAAATTTAATAAATGACATAGAAGATTAAAATTTTTCCCAAAATTGGTTATGTTAACTTATTTTGAAGTATGTCCATTCTTGGTTTTCTGATTTTTATATTTGTCTTTACTTCAGATCCAAGATTTACCAAGAAGTTGAAGTTACTGTACCTGATTCTATCACTTCCTGGGTGGCTACTGCTTTTGTGATCTCTGAAGACTTAGGTCTTGGCCTAACAACTGCTCCTGTGGAGGTAGCATTTTAAGGGCTGCACATTAATGTCATAGTACCATGAACCTGAGAGTTTCAGCTACTCAATCTTTTATTTTTTTTAAAGAAAGATTGCTTATTATGTTAACATAATTTAGACATTCTTTGGCTTTGCTTCTCTGCTTTCCATATGTTTCAAATTTAGAATGTGTGCGATATTAAATTACTAGATGTGGGCCAGGGATTTAGCTCAGTGGTTCTGCTCCCTGCCTCCGAAGCGCAAGGACCTGAGTTTGATCCCTGGTACCACACACACACACCAAAAAAGCACAGAACTTAAATTACTAGATGTGCTAGGTCCTTGTTGAGATTTGGGTATAAAAGTTTATTATTGAGCTGATCTAACAAGAAAAGAAACAGGTTGTTTCCATGTGTCCCTCAATGGATAAGCAGAACTTTTCAAGATGTCCCTTAGCATAGATGATTCCTTCGTATCTCCTTGGTCAAATTGCATCACATTTTGTTTCCAGTTACTAAGAAGAGTAAAAATGACCATATGTAGCTTAGACCAATGCTGTCACTTCTGATAGACAGTACCTCACACTCCCTACTCGCAACAGTCTGTGTTGCCTTTTCACCATCCCAAAATGAAATTCATAGAAAGTATAACATACCCACATACATGGTTTCAGAAAAATTAATATGGTGTCCTAAGTGAAGTACTAGGGAGAAATGAAAGGAAAATAATATATAATAACGTTAATATGTATTTCAGGATGTAAGTGGTCAGGCAGCTTAAATGTTTCCACTGGGCAGAGCCATCCTGCACGTAACAGTTATGAATGCAGTTTGATGTACATGTGTTGAGTTCAGCAACTCAAAAACCACTGCCTTTGGTATTGTAAATTTCTGAAATAGTGAACAACTTTTGGTAGAGTTACAAACGAAACAAGATGCAGTGTTTTCTTGATTTACGAAATAGTTATAGCTGTGAGAAATTCATTGCATGTTGAAAAATGCTTTGGGTTTGTATATAAATTGGAATTATGTTGTAAGCTCAGAGCGTTTTAAATAGGTACTTTACAAGAATGTCTACAGAAATATTCAGGAGTCTTGAGGAACACAAGACAGTTAGTTCTTCATTGATTGAGACTCCCTGGGCATGGTAGAACTTCACCGCTGGGTGCCAGTAACACCCTCCAATCTTTATGATGGTCCAAGACATCTTCAAAAATGTCCAAATAAATCTGTAGGCAAAATTACTGCTGCCAAAGACACCACTGGCTTAAACCAATCTAGATTTAGCTTCAGAGACATAGGAGCAGTTGGGCATCCCCTTCAGGCTCAGCCAGTTTCAGAATAAGAGGAGAAAGAGGAGGAGGATCAGAAGGAGAAGGAGGAGAAGGAGGAGGAGGAGGAGGAGGAGGAGGAGGAGGAAGACGACGAGAAGGACGAGAATGAGGAGTGCGTGTGTGTGTGTGTGTGTGTGTGTGTGTGTGTATGAAAGGGAGTGAGCAGAGAATTCCCATACTAGTTTGAAACAGTAATTTGATTTGGTCAGTGCTTTTCAGGTGGCTCATGGAGCAAACACGGTGTTAACGGAAGAGCAACTCCTTCAGCATTAGATAGGCTTCTCTATGTGGTGTAATATGAGCCTTTACTAGTTACAGAGGTCTCCAAACTTCAGTTTTCCTTGTAAAATAGGAGTATAACACCCTCATAGGGTTGTAATGATTAAGTGATATAACTTATGGTATACTTAGTTCCTGGCAGGTGCTTAATAATGTATAGTGATTATTATGTTAAATAATGCGAATCAAGTCAATTTGCTGTCATTTGTTTGGGATCAGTTATGTGCTTTCTGTTGATAAGCAAGTAGATATTAGTAGGTGGACTTATAAGCTTTACAGGCTTTGTGAGGATTGCTTTTAATTATGTATAATGTGAAGCATTTTGACCAGAATAAAAATATTCATTCACTGTGTTCTTTCCAGCTACAAGCCTTCCAACCATTTTTCATTTTTTTGAATCTTCCCTACTCTGTTATCAGAGGTGAAGAATTTGCTTTGGAAGTAACCATATTCAATTATTTGAAAGATGATACCAAGGTAATACGTTCAAGATTTTGTTGATTGTCTACACTTCAGGAGAAAACATGCAGAGATTAGGTGTTGAAATACTTGAGCATCTAAGCATGTAACACATTCCGGGAGATTGAACATAGATGTACTTTGTCAAGGCTGTCATTAGCACATCTCTGCACTCTCTCCTTGGTTTCCAGCCCAACCGACTTTCCCCGTTAGCTACAGCACTTCCTATAGTCTTGAAGTCCTGCTTTTCTCCTCCTGCCTGCCCAAGTTCCTGGCCCCCACTTCTCACTGCCATTCTGGGCCTGTTGTGGTTGTCCAGCACGTATTCCCTTGAGGACTTGGTTGACATGGAGATGCCTTTGCTGAGAGCCTCACCTATTGTATTGGGTCCACACATATGCCAGACATGTGCCTGTGTCACCTTAGCCACTCACTGCCCAGAAGTCAGGGATGAGGTCTGCTGTTTGTGTTATGCCCACAATTGTGCAAAACAGATGGTTGATTTTTTTGCCCCCAGAGTAACTAGGGATTTTCAGTTAACTTTATGGTGTGAAAATGCCATAATTTAAAAAGTATTGTATCTATACAATGCAGTGTGTATGTGTGTGTGTTATATATTTATTTATTTTTGATGTTGGGGATTGAACCCAGGGCCTTACTCATGCTAACCACACACTCTATTACTAAGCTGCTTTTTAGCTTTTAATTGCACTTTTTAATCTAGACAGCATGGTACAAGTGAAAAATCTGGAGTCAGAAGGCCCACTATCCCATTTGCCACTTACCAGAATATAACTTAATTGTAGTTTCCTCATCTAAAACAATGGGAATCATAATTACTATCTGCAAAAAATATTTTGAGAAGCAGATGAAAGGTAAATTGGAAAACAGTTTATAAAATACAAGGCCTAGAAAAATGCTACTTTGAATGAGACCAGCAAGTTTGGCGTATGTTTTAGGACTAATGTCTGAATAATGCTTTTCTTGGGATAATTTTTGTAGACTCTTAATAGAGGTATTAATACTTATCCTGTTTGTCTTATGCCTTTCTAATGGGATGAACGTCTCTAGGATGTCACAGTTAAATTAGATTGGTCATGATACTAATACTGTACATGAAATAGCTATTCTGTGACAACCTTAATATTTCTTGGCATAAGGAGAGAAGTTAATGGTAGAAAGGACCAGAAATGGAGCTAGAGAGTTTCTTTCTCCAGTTAGCTTGAGGTGAGAGGGGAGGGCATGTGAAATAAATAGTTTTTCCTGATAGACTTTCTTTCTCTCCTTAGCTGAATGTTTGTCTCATCTTTTTCTGGTTTTGAGCCTTACAGATTTAATGTGGTGATAAGACAACACTTTACTGAAGAGCATTTATTATCACCAAACCTTTGTATTTTTTCCTTCTAGGTTAAGGTAATTGTTGAGGAAAGTGACAGATTTGATATTCTAATGACTTCAAAGGAAATCAACACTACAGGACACCAGCAGGATGTCCTGGTTCCCAGTGAGGATGGCGCAACTGTTCTTTTCCCTGTCAGGCCCACACATCTGGGAGAAATTCCGATTACAGTCAGAGCCCTCTCGCCCATTGCTTCTGATGCTGTCACCCGGAGAATTTTAGTAAAGGTAAATATTTGGAGTCTTAAATAAAGAAAAGGGAAATACGTAATTGAAAATCAAACGAGATGGTTTTTCTCTCAGTTAAATTTGTTGGCAAACCTATTAGGTCATCTCCTCATTCCTTCTGGTAATGCCTAATCATTTTCTCATCTGTGTGTAAAAATATGATACATGAATGTTTTAGAACTTCTTTATAAATTGAAGCAGCAATGTGACTACAAAGTCTCTTATGGTCATTTACATCTACAAGCTGTGTTACATCAGGATCTTGTTAAATCATGGTCAAGCTGATAAGTAGATTGGGAATTTTGGAGTTCCTCAGTGCAGGTAGAAGAGATTTTTGTAGACTTCTGGGAAGAATTGAAAAAGACAACTCAGCATAGTGGATAGGCACTTGGGTCTGGGATCAGATAGCTCTGGGTTTGAATCTCTGCTTTATTAAATGCAATTTTGGATTTAATTTGCAATTTTGGCATTTAATTCCTCTTTTGGATAACAATTGAAACCTACCTCAGAAGGTTTTTCCCATCCCACTTTATCTTCTCCTTTGTCATTTCCCTTGCTGTTCCATAAAACATTTTGTCTAATTTAACTAGAAAGCAGGTAGATTTGAAGTCAGAATCAAGCAATGCCAGGTACATTTTTAGTTATTCACAAACTACAGATACAACAGGCCCGATGTCTTTCTTCATGTCTATACTCAGTTCTCTGTAAAGAAGCCTAGACCATATTAATTTTGTCCTTTTTTTTAATAGGCTGAAGGAATAGAAAAATCATATTCACAAGCCATCTTATTAGACTCGAGTGACAAACAAACTACCCTGGAAACTCTGAGTTTCTCATTTCCCCCTGGTACGGTCAGTGGCAGTGAAAGAGTTCAGATCACTGCAGTTGGTAAGAACAGAGCATCGCCATCTCCTGGTTTATTTGTATATAATAATATCTATTGGTCATCTATTTACAGGTGTATTTTCTTGTTTATTACTAACGAGAAGAGATCATAAAAGTTTTGTTTGTCCCAGACTCTGAGTTGCAGTAGAATAGCAAGTAATGCCCTGTAGATTAGCTTCTCTCCGTCTTCAGGGTGTGTATGAATCACCTGGATCTATTTAAAAGCACGTCCCTGTTGAGTGGGTCTGGGGTTCTGATTTTCTAACAGGTGAGGCTGCTACTTGTGTTTGCAGACCACATGTTGAGTAGCAAGGCCCCAGAGTACTGGGGGCTGGAGGGCGTTTATTTCCAAAGGTAGAGCTTTTGGCTTCTGTGGCTCTTGACCCCTAGGGAGTACCAGGATTTTTCTGTGAAGCTTTGTGAAAACACAAATAACTTACTAAGTTAGAATTTCTCAGGCCCAGGTGAGGGCTGGTCTGTTTTGAAAAGCTCTACAAGTGGTTCTGATAAGCAAGTGCTGAGAATGACTGCTTGGAGCAGTTGTGTGTGAGGACATAGTGACCTTAACAGCAGGAAGCTGCCCACCGATTTAGTCACTTTTCCTAGGTCCCTCCAGGAACCAGAACTTCTTCCGAATTAAACATAGCTGAAGTCAGGTTCTCCAGAGAAACAAAACTCACAAGACATAAGTAAAGGGAGATTTATTATGAGGAATTTGCTCATGCCATTACAGAGGCCGAGTGGTCCTGAATAGGCCGTTTGGAAGCTGGAGATCCAGCACAGCTGCTGGGTGGCGAATGTGAGTCCGGAGGCCAAGGCTAAGGAGCTGGTGATGTAAAATCCCAGGTGTGGTGCTCAGACTCCAGCACGAGCCAGGAGAAAGGGCAGAAGTCTCTTTTCTTGGCTGTGTGTGCTGTTGCCCTCCCTGGTTTGGTGATGTCCACCCGCACCTGAGACCCTCTGCCTTCATCAGACCATGGGTTCAGATCCTCATCTCATCCAGAAACCCTCAGAGATACCCAGAATAGCATCCATCGGATTCATCAGGGCACTCCGTGGCCTACTCAAGTTGACATGTAAAATTAGCTATCACAAAAGTTTTTTAAAAAAATGTAATTGTGCTTTACAATAACTGAAGATTTAATTAATGACATCAAAATAGTTTGTTAATCTTTAATGCTTTTTATGATAGCTCCAAAGAAAAATCCCTATACAGAGGACTTTATTTGGAGCCCTAGATATAAATTTTTAAAGGAATTAATTAAGCTTTTCTGTTGACAGGAATTCTGCCTAAGCATCTCCCACAGTGTAGGGATGCTGGGGATACAGTGCTTGCACAACTACACATACACACATGCATACACATGCAGATACACACACATGTATGCAGACACACAGTAAAATCCTTGAAGAGTAGCTATATACCACCACTTTTTTTGTTAGTACCAGGGTTTGAACTCAGGACCTTGTGCTTGCCACTTCTTAAATAAGAATGAGTCTATCTGTGGTCATAAAAATACTGTTCAGATTTAATATTTATGCTTAATATAAAGAATATATTTTTTCAAGTTTTATTTTCATATATTCTTAAACCTATTCTGAAGCCCAGAATATATGAATTTTAGCTTTTTTCTTTGGATTTTTTTAGATTATAAATTTATGGTTTATTTTGAATGTTAAAAATGTGACATGCAGTGGCAATAATATGGCCTGTTTTCGTGTGTTGGCGTCTGAAGTTGAAGATATGCTGGTGGGGTTGTAGCCTGTTCGTAAGAAAGGGGTTCCTTTATTTTTTGTTTAAATTATTTTTTAGGATCAGATTTTCACTAGGTATTTGGACTTGACATTTAAACTACATAGAAGGATGTTCTTGCAGCTTGACAGTAGTGAGGTCAAAATTAGGAACTCAGCCTCCATATATCTTAGTTTTTTCTTTTTTTCCCTGAGCCATGGTATTAGAATGTGGATAGAAGAATCTTTTAGGCATGTGTTTTGTTTAATTATAGATTACTAACTTTGAAGAATATTCCTAATCTTTTTTAATCCCAAGAGTCATTGAAAACTTACATTTGTCACCTTGCTGCTGCTCAGTAGAGCACATTACAAAATGCTACCATTCCTGCTGTTTTAAGAAATACTGTTTCTCAAGAATTTGTAGCATAAAAACTTGGAAACAGCCCAATTGCCCATCAATTGGAGACTGGATAAAGAAGATGTGGTTTTTTATAAAATGGAGTACTACTCAGCCATAAAGAATGAGAAACCAGAGATATTTATAGCTAAGTGGATGCACATAGAGGCCGTACTCTTAAGTGAAATAAATAGGACACACATGTGTAAATACTGAATAGTTTCTCTGGTGTGAAAAACTAAAAGTGTAAATAAGAATCAAAATGTATAATTGATATTATGAAATAGGCAGAAAATGTCTAAAGGAATAGGGGAAGTGGGAGGGGAAGGGGAAAGGAAAGAAGGGAAAAGAAAAAACATGAGAAAAGGAAAAACATGGAAACAAAGTCTTTGTAAATAGGGAAGGGTGGAGGGGGTGAAGGTAGGGAAGGGGAAGGGGAACCAAGATACATCATGTAAAGGTACAGGATCCCAATGATGAATGTAACTGTATTGCATACCTAAAATGTACCAATAAGCTAAATGGAAAAAAAAGTGAACCCCCCCCAAAAGAATTTGTAGCATATTAGTAAGAAATCAGTATAAAGTTATGTTTATGTGAAAAGTATGAATAATAAAACATTTCTTTCCTGTATGAGAATCATGATTCCTAATAATCAAATCCTGACATTTTTTGTTCAAGATTTATTGTTTTTGTTTTTTTTTTTGACACAGGGTCTCAGTATGTAGTTCAGGCTGGCCTTAAACTCATTATGTAGTCCATGTTGGCTTCAAACTCATAGAGGTCCTCCTGTCTCAGCCTCCCAAGTACTGGAATTACAGGCATGCCCCACCACTCCTGGCTTGTTCAAGATTTTAAAAAAACACTTTTTTAAAAACCTAACATGTATATGTCATATGTTCAACTAATCTAAAAGTCTCCTAATATGCTGCATAAATTGCAAGTTCAGTGCCACTGCATTGTTAGTTTTTTTTTTTTTTTTTTTTTTTTGGTACCAGGGATCGAACTCGGGTCCTTGCACTTGCAAGGCAGGTGGCGGAACCACTCAGCTAAATCCCCGGACTGCATTGTTAGTTTTTGACCATATAATCTGATGTAAAGTTTCTACTGTGCTCCTGTCTCAGATGTGACAGATGCTGTCTGTACTGAGTGGAAGGTTCTGCCACCGGCAGGTGAGTTGTTAGTCGTGTCTGCCCAGTGACTGGGATGTCTTGTGCCTCCAGGAGATGTCCTTGGTCCTTCCATCAATGGCTTAGCCTCACTGATTCGGATGCCTTATGGCTGTGGGGAACAGAACATGATAAATTTTGCTCCAAATATCTACATTTTGGATTATCTGACTAAGAAGAAACAGCTGATTGATCATCTAAAAGAAAAAGCCCTTTCATTTATGAGGCAAGGTAAGCATTTTAGAAGTACATTTCTGTTTGTACAAAAGTGTCTGTTCTTTTTTGAGGCAGGGTTCACCTGAGGCATGCAGTATTTCAGAACACTTGGATTTGTCTCAGTAGGTGATGGGGGCTAGATGGTGCTGAGATGTGCTAGACGTTAGTTCACTAGCTGCTGCCGGGGCTGTGCTAGCTAGTACTGGTTTCTGTGTTATAATAAGGGATCTGAAATTGAAAACTAGAAATCTAAAGGAATGAACGATTGTTTATTTACTGCATACTTGTAAAGTATCTCCAAGTGCCAGGGATCAGTTCTATTGCTGAGGAACAGAGGAATTTGAGCCTTTCCTCTCAAGGAATTCTCTGTCAGGGGAGAAGACAGTGTGTGTGTGTGGACCTGCTCAGTGCATTTAAAATCACAGCCTATGGGGGCTCAGAGAGATGTTTGTGTGGAGAGATCTGGGGACACCTCAGAAAATGCCACCTGGCAGTGAAAATGCCACCCTGCCTCCCTGAGAGGTGGAAACTGACCCAGACACCAGAGGATTGGGCACTCTCTAACAGCTGCTCTTAGCTGCAGTGAGGGCTGTCTGTGTCAGCTGTTCTGGTCACTCGCCCCCAGGGTCTCAGTGCTCACAGCGAGTATCAGCATGATGCCGTTTCACAGAGCTGAGGTACAGAAGAGTTGGCTGAGATTCTCTGCCGGTGTGGTTTGTGTGATGTATGCTGTCCATCAAACTCACGAGGGTCTGAAGGGTTATGCAAAATGATTGGAAATCATCCAGTGTAATTTTTTTTGTATGTGTGTACCAGGGATCAAACTCAGGACCGCTTTTGAAGCAGGCGGCGGCACCACTGAGCTAAATCCCCGGCCCTCATCCAGTGTAATTTAAGAAAAGTATAGTGCAACACTTTTTAGTATATGTGCTGCTGAAGTGAGAGTGCACAATACTTTTTAATTCTTTAAAAATTTTTTTATGGGATGGGGATTTAGCTCAGTGGTGCCACCGCCTGCCTCGAAAGCGCAGGGTCCATCAGGAATAATGAGGGACATGAGACCAGGGTTTAGAGTTTGGGCTAAGTGTGACCTGAGTTCTGATGTGAAGAGGGAGGGTGTGTTTCTCTCAGATGAGCGCCTGGCCCTGCATGCTCTGGGGTTACCTCTCAAACTCAGGAGGTGTTAGCTCCTCTGGAGAATTCTCAAAGATCTGTACAGAGTTACCTATTTAAAATCAGCATCCTTTGGACGCAGGTTTGTGGATCAGTAATGTTTTACATGAGCAAGGTGTGATACAAAATGTATGGTGTCTAAATTAAAAATTTATTACAGAAACACACATTGCCATTAGTCTCCCTCAAAATACTCCCCCTCCATCTGAACACACTAATTCCTTCACTCTTGCCACTTTCTGAGGCAGTTCTCAAAGTCCTCTTTCCTGAGTGTTTTTGTGAGGTGAATGCTGCCTCTCTGCTGTCCAGCAGAAAGGCAGACTCATAAAAACATGAAGGTATGACTTTATCTACCTTATACACCGGGTCTGGCATCGTGTGCTTCTGGCTCTTCCACAAATCAAAATGACCTTGAAAGGTAAATGTTTTCAATCTATTTAGGTTATCCAGTCAGCCATGACAGTGCAGCTAAAGACACAAAAGAGGACTTCCAGAACTGCTGCAGGAAGTGGCGAGAGTCATGGGATAATTGTGTTTCAAATGGGGGGGGCATATTTTGAGGGGGATTAATGGCCATGTATATATCTTTTACTGTAATAATTTAGAAATTTTAAACATTTACCTTATCATTATTATTATTTTTGGTACCGGAACATTTACCTTATTTTTGAATCACACCTAGTACACATACAAGAACTGTTTTTTTTTTCAAATTCTATTATAATTAGCTTAAGAAGTGGTATCAAGTGCTCTCTGTGGTTATTGTGTGCTGTGTTAAAAAATGAGCTCCTTACACATTAGCATAATTGTTAGATTTAAGGAGATAGATTTAATGAGTGAAAAATATGGAAACTGTCATAATTTAACTCTACGTCTTTTGAAAACAGGATTCTGGTTTGTATTTAAGATTTATCTTATTTAGTTTGAAGTAGAAAGTTCATAGGAATTATACTGGTGTTTTATAATTGGTATACATTCTTTGTGATATTTTGATACAATAAAGGAAATGCTAAATAATTTAATATTTGTATATGATGTATCAACTGTAACTTTGCCTAACCAAATATTAATGCTTTAAAAAGCAGAATAAATTTTGAACAGTTTGAACCACTTAAGGAACGGTAACTCATACTTTACAAATAATTTGAGTTTGTCCTCTGGACACTGGACCAGCAAAGGACCTAAAAAGTAGAAGACCCTTTAGTATCTGTTCTTTTTCAAAAGCAGTGCTGGTCCCTCAGGGCGTAGGTTTGTTAGAGCTGCCCTAGGAGCTTCTTCCTTTGAGACCTCCTCACAGATGGTGGTTGTTAGAAGGTGCAGCATGGCCAGAGGACAAGGAAGCCTTTGGTCTGTAAATGCGAGTCTCCCACGTTGTTCAGAGTGGGTGCCGGCACTGCCTTAAAGGAATCCCGTCTCACCTGGTGCTGTCACTCTGCCAGGCAGAAGTGGGCTCTAGATCCTGGCTCTTGTCTTGGGCTGGTTCCTCAGCTTCTAGAACATTGGTTTTCTGTAAGACAGGAGTAATAAAAGTATCTGCTTGATATGGTTGATTTGAGAATTTAATGAACTATTTAAGCACTTTATTCAACACATAGTAGGTGCCTTTATCAGCTGCAGTAGAATTTTTGTTACTAGCTATGGAATTAGGCTCTAAAGTCAGCAGGGAAACCTTGTCCATCCTATTGCTGAAAACACATACAGAATCTTCCACTTCTAATACAGTAATCCTGCACTTCTTGCCCCCACTGGTAATGGTTCCATTCGCAAAGCATGGTTGCTCACTGGCTTCCTCAGGGTCCTGTGCTCTCTGCTCACTCCTCAGCAGTGAATCTCCATGTATTGTGAAAGACATGCTTTAAAAAGGTCAAGATTATATTGTTTTCTTGCTAAGAATCCTGTGGTGGGTTCCTAGCCTTGACCAGCCAAGCCCTGAGTGAACTGACCCTGCCCTCAATCTTCAGCCTCACCTAAAGCTGCCCCTGGGTCCCCTTCAGGCTCTGTGTGCCTCAGGGCCGTTAGCTTGTGCCTCTTTCCTGGAATACTTTGCCCTGGATTTTTCCATGCCTGGCTCCTTTTCTTTTCCTCCCCTCTCCCCTCCCTTTTGCTTTTTGAGACAGCATCTCCTCATAGTCCAGGATACCTGGAACTCAAGAGCCTCCTGCCTCAGCCTTGTGAGTGCCGGGATAACAGGTGTGTGCTGTGCTTGACTCTTCATCATTCAGGTGCTGTTTTCCTCCTAGCAGCCTAAACGGGCCTTCCTCATTTAGTAACTTATTTATATCATCACTTCTCTTAATTCTTTCACTTACTGTTATTTAAAGTTATCACCTGTCTTCTGCATTAGAGAATGAGCTCTTGACAGGGAAGTGGGGCTGAGGCCGGTCTCCTTGTCACGGTCTCATTACTTGGGTACCTCAGTGAATGCCGAGCGGATGGAGCAATTACCAGTACGAGTGTCCTTGGGCTTTGGGGTCATCATTTTCCTGTGGAGATAAGGCCCGCAGAGCTTCCACAGGGCGCTATCTGCAGACACTAAAGATTCTACCAGGGAACATGACCAGTGGTTTCTGTGAGGGCCCCTTGGAGCTGGTGGAGTGGCTGTTAAAAATCAGCAGAATGAAGTTCCCCAAAATATACCATCTCACTCGCTGGACCAAATTACATTTCAAAGTGGTGCAAAAGTTTCCTGCAGTGATACTTTTCATTGTGAAATCAGTGACTCATTTCAGAGACTCACTATTTTCTTTTGCCATAATATTTGCCAGAGTTCTTTGAATGTAGTGTAGTTGTTATTTTTAAAGAAATTAAAGTGGCTTTGGTATGAGTCATGATTATATTATTTGTCATTTATGAGCAGCACACTGTTTACTTGAATCATAGTTGGCCCAGCAGCCCTGTAACCTAACCCATTTGTGTTTTGGTCAAAACAACAGCTACATCATTGAATGAAATAAGTTTTGTTGTTAAAAAAAAAAAGTAGAACCACAAAAATGAAAAGTATTTCTGATATGGATTGGAAATCCTGAACCTGTTAACTGAAGATTTAAATCTCATGTTTTTCTCAGCTATTTGAAACATAGTGCCCGCAGCTCAGTTTTTCAAGTGAAACTTAGACCAAGAACAGTTGAAAACATATTTTTTCTTTGTTGAAATAAAACAGGAAAAAATAAGCGCAGGATTCAGATGCTGCTTTTGATCATTAAAAGTGTGGCTGGAGGCAATAGTGAAGAGGCTAAAGAAGAAAAGACTAAATTCTCCCATTGTATTTCACGTCATAGAAAGTAAGGAAGTTGACAACGATTACTTTTCTTTTAGTACAGGGAACATTTTTATCAGCTTTTGCCAAAGAAAGTGCTTCATATAGTCATGAAAACTCGACTTTACTTCTTTTTTTTAATATGCAGTTTTGATACTTGAGGTAAGCAAAATAAAATTATGTTCAGAAAGTTACTTTTCTTTTTTCTGTGCTGCTTGGGATGGAATCTAGAGCCTCAGGCATGCTAGGCGGGTGCTGTACCACTGAGCTACATCCCCAGGCCCAGAATGTTACTTTCTAATTTATTTTTATCAGCAAGACTTTCACCTTTATTATGATAAATTCTAAAGATTTTAGATTCATGGTTAGTCTAAAGAAAATTTGTGACCCAGAAAAGTATGTATCTTATCTGACCCTTCATAAACATCAGTTTCTGGGTAATTATCCTAACAGCCTCTTTTTTTAAAAAAATTTATTTTATTCCATTCCCCCACCTCCCCTCCCTATGTACAAAAGCCTTGTTTCCATTTTTCCTTCTATTTTCACTTTTTTCTTGTCCCTTCCTTCTTTTCTCCCTCCCTCCTCTCTTGTTCCCCTTCTGATTTGAAAATTTTCTTCCCTTTTCTCAATATCTATTACACATTTTAGTCCTTATTTCTACTTTCAGGTTCTCACACAGACAAACAATGTGGTATTTAAACATGTGTGTCTGATTTCTTTCACTTAAGAATATGGTCTCAAGGTTCATCCATTTAGCTATAAATGTCTGAAGCTCATCCTTCTTCACGGCAGAGTAAGTACTCCATTGTACCCTAACAGCCTCTTGACTTCTGCATTTCAAATTTCAGAAGTGTATAATTCTTTTTTTTTTTTGTTACTGGGGATTGAACTCAGGACCTTGGACTTGTGAGGCAGGCATGGTGTCACTGAGCTAAATCCCTGGCCCAGAAGTGTATAATTCTAATCTAACACTAATACTTTTCAAACTCTAGAGCTGTGAACAAAACTACTAAAAAATTAAAAAAAAATTCTTTGTGGTGTTGGGGATTGAACTCAAGCCCTTCATACTGAGCTATATCCCCAGTCCTTTTTAAATTTGGAGACAGGGTCTTGCTAAGTCACCATGTTTTTCAGGCTGGTTTTGAAGTAGTGATTCTCCTGCTTCAGCCTCCCAGAGCACTGGGATTACAGTTGTGCACCACCATACCCAGCTGTATAAAACTATTAACTTAAAATCCACACTTTTTATGCCTTCATGAACTTTTGGAGAAAGCCATGGGTGCACTGTGATGAAGTCTTCTGCTTAGGTGACTACACTAGATGTTGAATTTCATGAGCAGCAGACTGTGTAGCTATGTGCACAGCACCCTTTGCTGCACCTGGAGTGGAATCAGGCCCAATACTCTGGGAAGCTTTGGGGGACAGGTAGGTGAGGGTTCTCCGGGCAAGCATGCTGGGGTATAAGGAGGAGAGAAACCTCCCAGGAGACTCCCACAGTCACAGAAGCTTTCCTCCCTGGGTTTTCTGCTTTCCCTGGGAGCAGAATTGGAGGAATGGGTTCTCAGCTTTATCTGAACTGGCTCAAGACTTGAACTCTACAACTGGAGTTTACAGGTGGCTGCTTTTCCCCTGGCCGACTGCCCCGGGGAAGGATGGTGTGAATTGTGGACACTAATGGGAATGTTGGAGGTGGGGTTATTCCCGTAAGCCCCGATCTCCTTTCAGGAGCTCAGCTGCTCCCTGACCTGCTGGGTTTGGACCACTCATGCTGGGAGCTGCCGTGTTGGTGGTGCGGGGCTTGGAGGCATGAGCTTCTCCTGGGGCTGGTCCTTTCTGAGGACCTGCAAGGATGGAGGCCCAGACCCTCCTCTCTCCTCTCCTGCTGGATTGAGATCATCGCAGTTACACTCTGGCTCTCTGCTGGATTCAGTCCTGAATTGAAGGAGTTTGTCTCAGCCTCTTCTGCTTTTTTTCTTTTGGAGAACATTAGGAAATTATTCTGCTTTTCTGTGATGCCTGATTACCTCAGACAAATGAAAAGATCATATATATATATAAAATGCTTTTCAAGGTTAAAAACTAAAACATGAGAAAGTGAACTAAGGTAGTATTAGTACTAATGCCTTCACTGGGCTGGGGATTTAGCTCCGTGGTGCTGCCGCCTGCCTCGCTCAAGGTCCCGAGTTCAATCCCTGGCACACACACACACACACACACACACACACAAAATTAATAATAATGCCTTCACTTATTTTTCCTTCTTATTTATTTATTTATTTTTTGGAATTAAAATGCTTTAATTAAAAAATCACGAGTGGATAATAAAGTGTGTAGAAACTGAAAATTTACCAACTATTTAAAACCTGGAATTGCTGACTGTTCAGTAACTACACAGATGGATCAAGGGTGGTGGTGAACAGCAGAAAGGGCTATGGAGGAATCTGCATTGTTCTAGCTGCTCCCCATGCCACCCGTCTTGGAGGAAAGCCTGACATTGATTAGATATTGAGCCAGGCTAATGCTAGCAGCAGATCCAGTGATGGTAACCTGCCTATCAGTAGATCCTTCCACTGGGTTTGCAATTTTGATCTGCGCCCCAGACATCTGACGGATCTCATTGATTTTGGCGCCTTGACGGCCAATTATGCAGCCAATCAAATCATTTGGAATGGTGAGTTCATGAGAAGTAGTCTGAGCAGATGTATCCAAACCTGCCCAATAGCCTTTCACCTCTGGAGAGCTGGATTCAATGCCACTGAACCCGGTGTTGCCATGCGTCATGGGAAAATGAGACTGTTGCATTGCCAACTGGTGCAGCTTGGTCAAATCTGGCTGTGGAATGGCATACTGTCCTTGAACGGTATAGGCCTCTAGAGGTGGGCCCTCCAGGTCAGGGTTGAGGCACACGGACGGGGTGGTGTGGGGAAAGCTGGCACTGTCGCTGCCTGTGCTGTACCTGTCCTGACCACCTGCAAAGGTGACTGGAGAACTTGATGGCTTGGGCCGGTACGGGATGGTCACGCCCTTCGGGGGGGACTCCAACATGACCACGCAGATCTGTTTGACACACTCAATGATGGACTGCGGGATGCCAGCAATGGTGATAGCCCGCTCAGTTGAGTTGAGGAGCGTATCCCCTGCCACCTGAACCTGAGCCCCTGTACACTCTCGTATTTCCTTGATCTTGCAACCTCCTTTTCCAATGAGAGAGTCACATTGACTAGCAGGAACCACCAGCCCCAGAGTGACTGGGGGTCTACTGGCAGCTGTGCTATTGGTCATAGAGCTGCTGATGTCCTCTTCCAGTTTGTCAATGATCATAGCAAAGGCTTTGAAGATGGCATTAGTGGGTCCAGCCAAAGTGATAATTCGCTCAGGACAATTCCCTTCTGAGATGTTGATACGTGCGCCACTCTCCTCGAGCATCTTCTTAACTGACTCTCCTTTCTTTCCGATGATACTGCCAGCTTCCTTTCCGTGCATAAGTAGCCGGATGGTGAGAGTGACATTTAATCCACCTTCAGTCACGCCGGTGTCCATGTCGATTATTATGGGGAGCTGGACTTTGAGTGGTCAAGTCTTTGGTCACTGGTGGGGGTCAAAGCCAAAAACTGCAGGCGCGAGGCGACTGAGGGGAAAAGGGGAGCGGGGGGGGGGCGGGGAAGGGGAAGGGCGGGAGGCCGAGGCGGAACAATAGCGGGCGGGCTGGAAGGCAAGGGGGGCCCCCGCAGGCGGGCGGAGGAGGAAGGGGGAAAGAGACCCGGGGGGCGGGCGGAGGGCGGCGGAGGGCGGGCGGGAGAGGGCGCAGGCTGCGGCTGCTCCGGCTGCTGCCTCTGCTGGTCTCCTTCTTATTTATTTATTTGTATATATTTTTCCAGTTATGGGGATCAAACTCAGGACCTTGTGCTTGCAAGGCAGTTGTAGCCACTGAGGTAAATCCCTAGCCCTCTTATTTATTTGAACATTATGTGGAACATAGTTTATTGAACTATGTAGAACATTAGTATGCTTCCAAAAATCAAGCTTATTTTTGTTTTTTTAAAAACTTTAAATTTTAGTGTATTAGTACATGCATGTAGTACATAAGGCATACATTCCTTGTGGAGAGTTGGTACATGCACACAGCACATCTTAACTCCCTTTTTCCCTTTCCCTTCCTGCCCTCTTCCCCTCTCTACCCATCCCTTGATCTCCTTTCTTTTTTTTGTGCCTGTTTGCAGTACATAATGTTTACATTTTTTTGTGTGGAGCTGGTACGTGGACATGGCCCATCCCAATTCCTTTTTTTATCCCCTTTTCCTTCCTCCTCCATCCCCTCCCTCTATCTCTTGATTCCCTTCCCCTTTTCCCCTATTTCCTATTATCTTTTATTTTGCTCTTTATTTTTACTCTAGATTTCTTATATAAGAGAAATGATGTGATTTTTTAAGTTGGTCTGTCTGATTTACTTCACTTTACATTATGGTCTCAAGGTGCATCCATTTCCCTACAAATAACTCATTTATCTTTTTTTATGGCAGAGTAGTAATCCATGGTGTGTAAGTACCACATTTTCTTTATCCATTCATCTGTTTATGGACATATAGGTTACTTCCAAGACTGAGCTATTATGAATTGTGCTCTTATAAACATGGATATGCGTGTATCTCTGTAGTATGATGTCTTAAACTCTTTCAGGAATATACCTAGAAGGGGACTAGCTGAGTCAATTGGAATTTTTAGTTTTAGTTTTTTGGGGAATCTCCATACTGATTTCCACAGTGGTTGTGTTACCAGGTAGTTCCTTTTAGAAATGGCTCACCAATTAAATGTATTCTAAGTCTTTCTTGCCTCGAACAAAAAACTGAATGAAACAGGCCAAAAATGGTCACAAGATTTATTTGAAAAGTGAGGGGTGAAGGAGAAACTAGCTGTGCAAAGCAAACTTGGGCTGAACAAGAAAGGAAATGAGAAAAATAAAAATAAAAGTGCACCCTAGCCTGGAAGACACAGGGTGGCCTACTGTGTTTGTTTGTTTTTTTTTGGTACCGGGATCGAACTCTGGTCCTTGTGCTTGCGCAGCAGGCAGCAAAACCACTGAGCTAATCCCCGGCCCAGGGTGGCCTACTGTGTAAGGGACACAGTAGTGCACTCTTTGTGGTGTCTGTGTCCTTATATGTGGTCCACATCTCGTGGGAACCCATGAGAAGTTTTACATATAGCGTCCTGAGAGGAAGTGCTGTGTAGATCCCGGGATCCTCCCATGCCTCTCTTCCCAGCCAGCCTAAGCCATGCCCTATCTCCTATCTCAGCTGTACCAGTCTACATTCTCACCAACAGTGTAGAAGCGTTCTTTTTCCCCTGCAGCTCTCTAGATTTTTTATTATTTGATTTCTTTTTTTATCATTTGATTTCTTGATGATAGCCATTCTTTCCGAGGCAACATGGAATCTCAGCATTGATTTAATTTACATTTCTCTAATGGTCAGCATTTTGAGCATTTCTTTGTGGATTTGTTGGCTATTTGTATTTCTGGGAAGTATCTACTCATTTTGCTTGCCTATTTTTTGATTGGGTCTTTTGGGGAGATCTAATTCTTTTGAATTCTTTATATATTCTAGATATGAGTCCTCTGTCTGAGGAATTTCTGGTAAGGAGTTTTTCCCATTCTGTAAGTTGTCTTTTCACTTGGTTGGTTATTTCTTCCGCTGTGCAAAAACTTTTTAATTTAATATGATCCTGTTTGTTGATTCTTGGATCTATTTCCTGTGCAACTGGGGTTCTGTTCAGAAAGTCCTTGCTTACATCTGTGACTTCAAGAGTTTTTCCTAGTCTGTCATCCAGCACTTTAAGTGTTTCTGGTTTAACATTTAGTTCTTTGGTTCATTTTATTTTAGTTTAGTGCATGGTGAGAGATATGGGTCTATATTCAGTCTTCTGCATGTGGATAACCAGTTTTCCCAACACCGTTTATTAAAGAGGCTGTCTTTCCTCCATTGGTGGGTTTTTGGTCCCTTTGTCAAAGGTCAAATAGTTGAATGTACTTCTGCATCCTCTAGTCTGTTCCATTGATCCTCATGTCTGTTTTGTTCCACACCATGCTATTTTTATCACTGTAGCTTTGTAATGTAACTTCAAGTTGGGTATTGTGATGACTCCTGCTTTACCCAGGATTGCTTTTGCTATTCTGGGTCTCTTCTGGTTCCATGTGAATTTTAGGATTGTTGTTTCCAGTTCTGTGAAGAATGCTGTTGGAATTTTGGTTGGAATTGCATTAAATCTGTGTAGCAATTTTGGAAGTATGATAAGCTTATTTTTTAAAAGTATATTCAAAGGGGTGTCTTTCCCTCTCCTTTTCCTTCTCCTTGCCAGTTGTAACTTGCTTTATTAGTTTCTAGCTTACCTTTTTTCTTTCTCTCTGTAAAGATAAACACATATATGTTTTTATTTTTTCTTATATAAAAGGTAGTGTATACTATATACACAATTTTAGATTTTGTCCTTTTCATTCAAAAGTATATCCAGGAGGGCCAGGGATTTAGCTCAGTGGTTTCTCTGCTTGCTGCGCAAGCGCAAGGACCCGAGTTTGATCCCCGGTACCCCCCCCAAAAAAACAACAAAAAAAACCAAAAAAAAAAAAGTACATCCAGGAAATTACCCAGTGTCAGTTTACAGAGATAGTCCTCATTGTTTTCATAGCTGCATAGTGCTTCATTGTGTGTATATGTCATTTTTATTCAACCATACCCTGCTTTGGCAACATTTAGATAGTTCTCAATATTTTATAATTATAATAATGCTGCAACAAATAATCTCCTGCTAGATATTTTTGTATTGTTGGAGATGTAGCTGCAGGATAGATTCTGAGAGTGAGATTATTGGGTCAAAGGGTAAAGACATTCTTTCACAGTGTTCCATTCTGCATTTCCTCTAGCAACGGATGAGTACTGTCTTCCTTATAAAAAGAGAGGTCAGACTTTTGAATTTTGCTAATCTGATGGGTAAGAAATGGTAGCTCAGTATAGATTTAATTTGCATTTCTCCTATTAAAAAGTTGAACATTTTTCATATATTTAAGTCTGTCTGTATATTTTTTGCTTTGTCCTTGTCTTTTGTTCACTTTTTTGTGCAAGATTTTAAAAATCTTTTCTCCTAAGTTCAGAAAGTTCTTTATGCATGCATGTATTATTACTATGTAAACATATGAATAAAATTTACACACTAATTTATATTAGTTATTTGTCCATCTTATATGTTGCAAATACTTTTTTTATTTTTGTTTTTGGGACAAGGTCTTGCTATGTTGCTATAGCAACTGATCTTGAACTTCTGGGCTCAAGTGATCCTCTTACTTCAGGCTTCACAATAGCTGGGACTATATGCCTGCACCACTGTGCCTAATTCTGATTTTTTAAACCTCACATATAGTGTATTTTGCCATGAAGAGTTTAAAAACTTTAAAAATAGTCAAATCTATCTATTTTTATTTTATCATTGGTGCTTAGAAAACCTTTCTCCACGCTCCCATGTTAGAGAGTAATGCCTGTTTTTCGTTGAGAACTTGCCATTTAAAAGGTACTACACTAAGGGATTTTCATATATTATCATATATAATCACTGAAAGAGATTTGTGAATTACTTGAAGACAGTGCTTTTCGAATCAGATCTTGTCTGACCTACATTTACTGCCTACTAGTTGTGTAACTTTGAGTGTAGTATTTGTACCCTCTGGATTCCAGGCTCACTATTGACATAAAGCATAATAGCACCTACATCTGAGGGTTGCTGTAGGACTTACTTGAATTAATACCTGCAAAAGGCCTTTAACATTCCTTGACACTTAATCCGTGTTGAGTGAAAGTCGGCTATTACTGTACTATAATATTTCAGTTATAGACACAAATACTATAATCTAATGCTTTCCTTTCCAATTCTTTATCACTTCAAATGTTTGTATTCCTTTTACTATAGAACTTAAAGATCATTGTGAACTAGTATCTTTTGTATCATCATAATTTTATTTTTATTCTATTTTATTTTTGGTGGTGCTAGGGATTAAAGCTGTTTTGGCATATTTAACATTGTCCCTCCTCTATTGCTGGCCCAAGAATACAAAGTATTTCTCTTTTGTCTTTTGACCTTAAACTTTATTATACCATAATTAATATTTTCTTAGGCAGCAAACAATTTTAGATGAGTAAGGATGGAGACCATTGTGGGATACTAGAGAGATAAATACAACTTTGCCTTTAATTTGTTTGCTTTTGAAGGGTAGAAGTGTCAGTGATGCTATAGTAGTCTTTTGAGTTTAATTAGGCGATATGACAGTTCTTATTTTTTGCATTCTGCTGGAAAAGTCCTGATATTTTAAATTTCCTATGACACTTAACATAAAGAGTGCTCAAAATTAAGTGGTGATGTTTTCTTCTTTCCCCTTCTATACCTATATTTCCTCAGTATGAAGCCATTATTAGAAACTTTCATTCATGGCACAGGGATTCCACTGAGTATCTGCCTACTTTTGTGTCTTCAGGTTATCAGAGAGAACTTCTCTATCAGAGGGATGATGGCTCCTTCAGTGCTTTCGGGAATAATGATCCTTCTGGGAGCACTTGGTAAGTGTTTTTTTTTAAAATTTAAATTCTTTTATTGGTACATTTTAGGTATACAATATGTTTACATTTATCATAGGGTGTTTGTACCTGTACATGATGTATCTTGGTTCTTATTTTTTTCCCCATTACCTATGCTCCCTTCATCCCCTCCACCCTTCCCTATTTACATAGATTTCATTTCCATTTTTTTTGTTTTCTCATAATTTTTCCTTTCCCTCCTTTCCTTTCCCCCTTCCCCTCCCACGACCCCTACACCTTTGGACCTTTTCCTATTTCAAATTATCAATTATTCATTTTAATCATTTTGTTTTATTTTAATTTTTTTCCTTAAATTCTTTTATTGGTACATCTTAGGTATACAACACATTTACATTTCTCATTGGGAACTTGTACCTTTCCATGATGCATCTTGGTTCTTATTTTTTCCCAATTAGTTGCCCTCCCTTCACTTCCCCCACCCTTCCCTATTTACAAAGACTTTGTTTCCATTTTTTCCATTTCTCATCATTTTTCCTTTCCCTTCTTTCCTTTCCCCTACCCCTCCCGGTTCCACTACCCCATTGGACCTTTTCTTCCTATTTCGCATTATCAGTTATTCAATTTTTAAATTATTTTATTCCCCCCATTGAGTTTATTGGTACATTTTAGGTTAAAATACATTTACATACATTGTTGGGATCTTGTACCATTACATGAGTATCTTGGTTCTTATTTTTTTCCCCATTCCCCTGCCCTCCCTTCACCCCCTACACCCTTCCCTATCTGCAAAGATTTTGTTTCCATTTTTTTCCTTTTCTCATATTATTTCTTTTCCCTTCTTTCCTTTCCCCTACCCCTCCCACTTCCC